TGAGCATTTTCATGATCAAAAGTCAAAATGACAGAAACCGTGCTATTACTTGTTCAATTTGCACATCAGAACTGATATCTGAAATATACATCAAGTTCACAACAAAACTACTTAAAGTGTCTGTTATGAAGTAATCAAGCACACTGAGGGACCAGTTCAAAAGTTGGATGTCAGATAATCAAAAATGAATTCCTTAAGTTTAAAGACCTCCCCATCCCCTACAATAATAAAGTGAAAATGTTGAATACCAGAGTTTTTTTTTTTGTGACCAGTTTTGTCCTCATTTCAGTTGGGTTTCAACTTCCCTTTCACAGTGTTTACAAGTAAAGTTTATTTAATGGTGCCTATATGCCTATATTATACACTGCACAGGATTGACTTATCCAAAACAGCCAGCAAAGACCAAATTAGGCGTCCTTGAGGAAAAACAAGAAGTATATAATGACAATTCCTAAAAGTATATGAATGACAATAATACTGGTTTATCTAGTTTAGTTGTATGAAGCAAAAACAAAGTCAGGTCGGGACTTGAACTTACCTGATGTATAACTTCCAGGGGCCATTAAATCCCCATTACACTCTCCTTCATCAAACCTCGAACTTAAACAATTAAGATTTTTATCACACCTCAAGCTTTTGAACTGGACCCAAAGCAGACTTCAACCCTCACACAAATTTTTCTTCCTGGACATTTTTCAACAATGATCACCTGAAAGGTTCTTTGATATTGATTTTATGTCATATCTCCCAGTAAAGCAAACATAAGCTACAAATAACTTCAAGGAAACACTGTTGCAATACAAGATCATTATCAATGTCAGAGACAAATAATTCTTTTGGCCCAAGTTGCAACACTATGTACCAAGTATAACAATGTATCATGTCAGTAAACAATACACTGGGCACCCAGAAATACATCAATATCATAGGAAAAACAGTGTACATGTACACATATGATAAAACAGCAGGGGCGGATACAGCTTTTGAGAAAGGGGTGGTGCACACTATTGAGAAAAGGGTGTGCACACTTCATTTCATCACCAGAGTTTCAATGGTCATTTCATAAACTTTCAGGACAAAAGGGGTGCACCCCTGCACACACACACATCCCCTTTGGATCCGCCTATGAACAGGAATATATAGAGAATACTAAGCGATGTCCATTGTAATACCATATTTATGAAACCAGTGAATGGATTGGTATCTAACGAGTGAAAGCAAGTTTGATACCAATATCATTCACTATTTTCATAAATATGCTATTACAGGACATAGTTTAGTATTTTATTTATTACTCACCCAACATTAATAAATAATATCAGGCAAAGTACTTCTTCCCTAAGAATTCATCGAGTGTGATGACCTTCAGCTTTCCGTGCTTCAAGCAAGGTCTAATATTATTGTGACAGGTATTAGCATTGTGATGTCATAACTGTAAACCATTCTGACATCATACGTGCGGCATCACACGATGTTATTACACAATGTGTAATAACATTGTAAAATTACTAAACAGTGATATCTTCAACTGGTGAGTAATAAAACATTTTATTTTATATTTTATATCTGACCACGTCCTAAAAGGCACTGACTATTCACAAACAGTTCCAACATAATAAAAAAATATCAATTAGAAAAGAAAAGGTGAGTGATTGAATCCACGTAACTTTTAACAATATTCCAGCGGTATCATGGCAGGGGACACCAAAATGGGCTTCAAACAATGTAACCATGTGAGGAATCAAACCTGAGTCTTTAGCATGAAAGTAAACACTTTAACTGCAAGGCTACCCAACTGCCCTGTTCATTACAAACTAACATTCTAACATTCAAGCTTATATTGTATTCAACTCACATAAAAAATCATATCAAGTTTAACAAAACATCTCAATCCCCAAAACAGTCCTTTGCCTCAATCATTCAGTAGATTTTGGTATGGATGCATTTATAAAGATAATATACTTTGTGCCCTAAGCAGGCATACAAGGGAAAATAATTGTTGCATTTTAATTGAGATTTGTTAAAATTTATCATTTTCCTGAATTGAAGGTATTTTCATATGCTGCTATGATGTAATAAAAATATGCATTAAAACATCTTTCTCTGTAGTGGTCCTGATATCGTGATATCAGTATAGTTACTTCTACAACAACATTAGCAAACTACACAGAATTCAGTTATAATGCTTTTATTTATTATTTAGGATTTTGCTCCAGGCCTGCATGCATCTGGATATAGTCCTCTGTCGAGATATACCCCTCACAAGTGTTGGGTTTATGTACAGGCTATTTATAGCTGAGTTTAACAAACAGACATTTTACAGGTTTCTGTAGTCTGTCATACAGACCCTGAAGCAAATATATCCAAGAAAGGCCCACACAAGTCTAGAAAATGTGGCAAGTCAAGATTTCCACAGCTTCTGAAAATGAAGAAAGTCTCAGGGCTCCTTTTCAGTATATTTTATTTTTTTTACTATGAGTTTTTTTCCGTAAAATATGTTCGTTTCAGAGACTAGTTGTTTGTCTAAGGTTTCTGGCATCAGTGTAGTATCCAAGGTCTCAGACTGGCTCTCAATATAATCTGGAGACACTATATATCAGCTCTTCTGATTCATTATATCATACATAGTGTTTGCTCTGGCTCTCTTGGTTTATCAATCAATCAAAGTATCTGTGCTTATATAGCGTGTTATATCACATATTGCCCACTGTTATAGCACAAGGAAACAATGTTGATAATTGTGTAGGGTATTATGACAATATACAACGGTATTACCAGTATATAATCTATTTGTACATGTAGTAAGTCAGAAGTTTGTACACTTGGAACATGTGTGTCCTGAGGTAAACACTGAAAATGGGGAATATTGACCAACTGTCTCAACAGCTCCCTGATTTATTCTGCCCCATACAACCAACCACAGTCCAATGTTCAGAAAGCTGAAAGGTCTGTGGTGAGGAAATGGTTCACAAATCATTCCAGGAATCTGAGATCGAAGTAGACGGAATTCAAATTTTGCAGCAGAAATATCATTCTTAATGGAAACTTCACAGCTACATGTTATTTTCGTCTGATGGGTTCTATAGGACAAATGTTTCCTTTGGGAAAGAAATCTTAGTTTAAGACTTCTTTCAATAACTTTCTCTAAAACTGACAGACTTTAAGAACTGATCAAGATCAAGTATCGTATCATTGGCCTTGTATTAGGACATACAATACAATATTGTTACTGCAAGTGATATCTCCTTTTGGTTAACCTGGACTCCAAAGGAAGTTTAAATAAAGATTGAGTTTTCCTTTTTATGGCCCCCATCCAACATCAAATGATAGATATTGGCATTACATGTATAATAACCTTGCCAAGAAACATACAAAAAGCAAATTTTCAAAGGTCATAAGATATGTCACAAACAACATACATCAAAATTGTCAAATCAGCGTCTTGTGCAAGTGATTCTACTTCTACAGACTCCTGTATAACCTGTCAGCGTTCACGAATAGTGTCTGATCCTCAGACAAATCCGGCAGATTCGCTGATGATCCAATAGAAGTCTACAACCTGTCGGCCCCGTGTCCAACTGTATATTTCACAATGACTTTGACTGAAGTTGTTATATGTGACATGTGACACTTGTTCATTGTTATGAATTTTACTTTTGCTAATAATTTCAATGCCAATTATAAGAAACTTTAAATCTGAAATATGTGTTTAATATTTATTTTATGTCTCCTGTGAATTTTCAGTTGGTCAGACAGACATCTGAAACTTACAGGACCCAATGTCCTTGAAAAACACCATTTGTGAACACTGATCTGTCACTCAGTGAGTGAGTTTAGTTTTAAGCCGCACTCAGCAATATTCCAGCTATATGGCAGCGGTCTGTAAATAATCGAGTTTGGACAAGACAATCCAATGATCAACAGCATGAGCATCAATCTGCGCAACTGGGAACCGATGACATGTGTCCAACCAAGCCAGCGAGCCTGACCATCCGATCCGTTAGTTATCTCTTTACGACAAGCATGGGTTACTTCTGTCACTCAGACCCTAGAGAATAAATTCAGTTTGAGTCCTAGTCTAGTCTAGAATTATTTGCCAAGTATAGATTGCCTCAGCTCTCAAAAGATAAGAATTATTTTGGGCTTCATTTGGAGTGATTTTTAGATTAATATTTTACACATATTTTTTAATTAGATAACTTTATTTCTAGGACGAAATGTCAGTCTAGGTATTGGGTTTTGTCGCATCGTCTATGCAACTTACAAGTGAGTGGAAGAATGAGCCTTCACTTCACAATCTATATCCTTATGGGCTGGCCCAAAGCACACACCAGTCAAAATAACTGGGTCACCTGCTTGACAATTTGTCACTTTGTTGTATATGTATTGTATGGATGTGAAAATTTCTTTATATTAGAGCCTAGTAGCGTACATCCCTGAAACCAGTGCTTGCCTTCCCTTCACTTGTCACTACCTCCCACACATCTGGTTTATAAATACTAACAAATTGCATGAACCACTAGGCTTATTGGCAAGGATGTACTTACTTTCGCAAACAAATTTTACAGAGCTAATATGAACAACCACAACTGACGAATATGGAGGAACACGATCCAATCTACCTTCGCCAAATTAAACCATTTATCGATCTGAGGAATTTGACAGATTCCTCCGGAGCTTGATTTCTCGTGCCCCGACGATGTTTACTAGTTTAGGTTTAAGGTCAGATTCACGAGTCCCGACAAAACATGCTAACAGCTCGCATTTAACGAATAATTTAGCTAAGTCGTGGAAAACACGGTGAACCAGTTGATATATATACACATTTTGTCCTTGTTGCCTATTCGGGGGAAAGTAGCAATAAAACAACGCGTGATAAGGACGGTACACAACCGCCATGCTGACAGCCGTCACAACAAAACCAGATTACGACCCTGTGATAAGCACATCATCGCACACAACAGGGGATGATAGGTACTCGTGTGATGTCTAACACTCACCGTAGCAGAGCGAATTTCTCCGTGATCTAGAACAATATGATGACTCTCCCATCGCCGCAGATATTTAGAGTTCATGATTTTGCTTTACAATCGTCCGTGTAGTGATTCAGGCGACACTTGGATGTCGCCCTCGGAAACCAGTTTGTATTTGGGTCCCTGGGGTAGGGATTTGATTGACACAGGAGACGAGCTCGCTGAGCTCGAATGTTGAGGGGTACTGGGAGCTGACGGAGGGTCAGTGGAGGTAACTTCGACACAGGCATCTGGCAACGTCGCCATTTTGTAGAGCTTTGTGCAGCTCGCACGAGCCGAAGCTCGTTAACGCTGATCTGTAGCAGACGACAGAGTAAATATCCCCGTAATATCTCACACACCAATATGGTTATTCCTTGGACATGGTCACACCACTCGGGTATACCTCCGACACATCAGGACGAATTATAATTTTGTAGTTTAATTTGCCTGGCGCGTATGCAGAGTGGTAAACACGATGAAACAGTGGTTTTGCAGGGTCCTTTTCACATAGATCACGGTACGAGACTAGACCGTTGTTCCTCGATAACTGATCCAGCAACCGTGCCACTTAATATATCCCAGTGGTCCATTTCAATACGTTTACCTGAAACACATGGAGGCTACACGGTGTGATGGTCGAAACACACTGTCAGTCCCCTGTTATGTGTGAGTTGTATTAAGGATCGTGCCTAATACAAGAATGTAATCAGGTTTTCATTGAAAATGGCAGCGAGCGGTCACGTGACATATGACGTTTCTCCACTGGCATATCTGCGCGATTTAGGTAGTAGGTAGCCTACGTCAGTGCACGTATATACAAACGTAACGCGCTGAGCCCGCGATGCAGATTAATTTAGGAAAGAGAAACGAAACATGCATGTGAAATATCCATCAGCATTCCAAACACTGTAGAGACCTCAAGTTTGGGGGTGAGTCATTGATCAATACACGATTCATCAGCGTTGAGGAAAAAAAAGGGGTGAAAACGTTATATGCACACACATCAGCGTTTGCTAAATGAAAACGTGGCGTTTATGGGGACCGTGGAAGACTCATTCCCTTCTTTAAAACAGAGATCTGTTGGGGCTTTGAATGTAACTTATAGAAGATTTCACACGTACTTTATGCTAGAACAGTGGGTGTTTCAGTAATTCAAAGTCAACGCATTCATTTTCCTGTTGGTGGTTTGTCATTAGCTTCCATTTGAAACGAATGAAATACCCATTTCCCGTTCAGAATCACCCAGTAAAATAACTGATAAAACAGGCAAAGGACTGATGACCAGCTTCAACAACTTTAGGATTATAAAATCGGTCGCGAATTTCGGACATGCTTTGACTTTGAGTACTGTATTTTACAGTACTTAATATCCCAAATATTCGATTTTTTCGGGAATTGTTTTGATGACTGATCTCGTCACGTGACCTCGGTTCAAGACCTGTTTCGGGATATATTTTAGAAACCGGAAGAAAACTGTGAAATGGCGACAACGACCATTAGACAAGGAAATTAAACCTAATCAGCTAGGGAAGGCCTAATGGAAAGCAGGATGAAGGTTGTCCACCAAACATGATTTTCCCTTTCAGTGTTAGGTGATATTGTCAACTGAATCTCAACAATCATTTGTAGCGGTGTCCTTCTAATCCCCTCTGATTAATTTCAGTAGCCACCAAAAAATCCTGTCCATTGATGTTTGGGGCGGTGGAGTAGCCTAGTGGTTAAAGCGTTTGACCGTCCCGCTGAAGGCCCGGGTTCGATTGCCCACATGGGTACATTGTGTGAAGCCAATTCCTGGAGTCTCCCGCCGTAACATTGCTGGAATATTATTATTATTTAGTAATTATGTATTTCTTTACACTCCTTTGGTATAACACTTTATCCATATCAGTTTGAACTCCAAGCTTTACGGAACAGTGGGACGTTGTCATAGCTACTTGCTTGATAACGGTGTTAGTGTCTACACCGAAACGCCGCACTCATTGCAATAAAGAAGTTGACTATCCATAGAACTTGGTTTTCCTTCATCTTCACAACTTCTAAAATGCCTCTCAAAGAAGAAAATTACTTAATTGGATTAAATGTTATGTAAATAATCGTAATCAATCAATGTTTGTTGAAGCTTACATGCAATGCAACACACAACTTTGCAGATTCAGATACCTTTCGGTATGGGCTTACAGTAACAAATTATCAAAAATGCAAATTCAACTTATAAAGTTGAAAAAAACGCGATGAAAAAAATCCTGCGAAATGGGAGTTCAAACGATTCTATGAAAAAAACAGCTTTGGTGAAAAGTTGTTTTATCAGTTGTGCTACGCTGCGCATATAGCGCATGCGCAGTGAATAGGTTCACGCGGCTTGAACCGGGATGCCCGGATTATAAGGTCGTAAGCAAGAGTAGTCTAATCTTGGTTGTGTACACAAACAACAAATTGTAAATAATCTACTCGTTCCATAAAAGAACCGTGTTACACTTAAGCGCACGCCCACCCGCTCTGACTGGGTTCGGTATCCCGTGTGCTTCGTTTCGAGGGTAGTAAACCCAAGTACAAAATATTGCACTTTTGATTTGCGATTGTACGCTTATAATTTTGTTTATTTTTTGTTTTCATAATCAGCAATGTATATTATATGTCATGAATAGATGATAATTATGTTTTAATTATGTTTAATTTGTTGGTTGCATCTATAAACTTTAAAGGAGCTTTATCCACGCCGAGAATGTTAAAAGTTGGCCATGGGCCATTTTGCACATTAGAATAAAAATGGCCTTTGGGTGTTTGTAAACCCTACTACCAGTTACCTATTAAGATGGCCGTTCCGCATTGTCAGGGGTGATGTAAGCTCAAGTTACATACTCGCTTGGTCCGTCCGGGGCTTCTACGTTTAGGAGTGAGAGGTCTGACGACCGAGACTCCTAACTACAACATTGCATTCATGTACTGGCACTCTGGCATACAAGGAATAACTCAACACTAGGTTCTATACTCACATAGGTTTACTCGATCTCTCTCGTCATTACAAGGTGACGTGGTCAGGACAGGATAGGGCAAGCTCTTCACCAGATATGGAACTGATCGATCGCGATGCGAACGTTCTGCTGACTTTGTAACCCGCACCACTTTCTAGTGCTGACGGTTTCTTTTTAAGGTGTTCGAGCCTGCTCCACCCTTGTCACATGACCAGATACAATCCCTCTGATTCGTTTAAAGTTACATCATTCCATGGTCTCATGTCGTACCTCATGATCAGAGGATTACTGTAAACTAATCGATGACTCACCGTTGATTGCTACTTTTTTTCTGTCCTGTCACTGACAGTAATCCTGTTCTCTCTGCCTTGATTTATTGCCCATCAGAAACAGTATTGATTTTATGAACAAATACTCGCAATTCTTAATAATAGATTTGTAATACGTTTCTTGAGTCACGTACGCATTTTCGCCTTATAACATCCTCCGCCTGTGGACAAGAGCTGCCCACAGCTCGGAAGAAGTAAACACGAGAACATGGAGGCGATGTATAGAAATACAACAAAATCTACCCAAGAAGCAAAACAGGAGCACGGAACTCGAATGGGATATGTGGATCATTTTGAAAGAAGTCTTGTGTAAAATGTGAAATTGGCAAACATGCCCAAGGTACACTAACTTGCGTTCGAAAAAGGGGAAGAAAATGGCTCCTATGTTACTTCGTAATACCACAAAGCATGTACACAACACAACAAAATCCAAGTCTGTTAAAGTTCATAAAAGTAATAAAGATGATTAAATGTCACTTCGTATGAACACATATGGTCTGATCATTCACAAAAGGTCACATGTCATCGGTCCCCAAACGAATTCACTGGCACTGTCTTGGGCAGGAAAAGTCATAGCATGAGCTGTCCCGCATTGGTACCGAACTCCACAATGAAATGTCAGTGACTAAACACACAATGAAGAGTCAATGACGTAACACACAGCCTTGCAAGATCCCACAGTACGATTTTGCGATGGAGCCACGTGGTAGGATGAAAAAATGTCCGCTCATTGGTAGAATGTTATGGGCAAACATGTTGGTGCCCGAAAATCAGCAGACCATGTCTAATTATGGTGCCATAGGTAGGTGGCGGAACAACTTCACGAGCGATGTTAAAGGCGATTGTATGAACCATACTATCTTGTGGCGTATGGCGGCTGCAACAATTGTGCCCGGAGTATAGTGGTTGTCACCAAATGAAGTGTGGAGTCAGATGATTGATGGTGGAGGGGATCCGACGACAGTGGAGGAAGTGCTTGACTTCCGTCCTAACAGAACGTGAGCCGGAGATGGAGCTGCAACACTTGAAAAACAGTGTTAAGCCAAATCCAATATATTTGTGACATGAAGCGAATGTAAACAGTGTGTTAAAATATGGAGACATATGTCATTATGAAGTACCTCAATCTTTTCTGGACACACTGCGATGGAGGTAAGTATCAAAATACTAGAAGCTTATTAAGACAAAGTACGATATTGACGTACACATGCGAATTGTAGGACGCCTCATCCAGTTCCTACTTGTCATATTCATAATATGGAAATGACATAAAGAGATACAAGATCGAAGTATAAAATGCATGGACGTAATCTATAACCGTCGATATGACTATGAACAATTAAGGTACAACAGTCAAGAAATGCTTTGTGGTGTAAAGACGAGAACGAACAACATAGAAAAAAAATGTGTGAGGGAATACATTGAAACACCGAAACAATTTGATCTTATCAAGTAATATTAATGAGAAGCAACTGGAGAATAATGTATATTATGTAACTACCGGCTATCCATAATATGTGAGATACGCAGTCCGAATACAATAGTATCTCTATGGCAATGTATATATATTACAATATTGTTGTAAGAATGAGTATTACTATATGACTGAATATGCCTCTGGTGACTCGATAGTGATATTAGAGACAAAAACATGATGGCATATGAAAGCAGAACACAAAATAGTAATACAACTTCCGAACATGGAGTATTTATGGGGTACCATCACCTATGAAATTCTAAGCCTTTGTATAATCTCTAGTGCTCAATGTACCGTACTGACAAGTGTTAGTTGCTTGTTGCACTTGATCACAGTATGAAATATAACGTATAGCAATATCAACTAGGACAAAGAAAATGTCGCATTTGTCTACACATGCCAGATGGCAAAAACTGGGAGGTTAAGGTAGCTTTAATATGATGGACAGGATGCTGTCTCCGATATGGATTATGTCAGAGGTAACGAGAAAGCTGCCCCACACTGTTGGAGGCCTATTAATTATATTGTCTAGTGGGAAGAAAAGCTTTTAACCCACTGATATAAATCTTCACAGAAATATATAGACTGTGATGTGTGGAATTTGCAGAGAAGAAAAAAAAATCAAAATGTAAGTATTAGGAAAGGAATTCCGGTTGAATATGGAAAATCAGTGAGAGGATTTCCGGCTGATAATGTCAAGTCTCGGGAAATTAGAATAGTGAGACCATCATCTCAATTATAAAAGATTATAAGCTCTTTCATACACTGGGAAGTAAGATGTAAATCAACGTGAAATTTCTTGTCCTTTTTCGGATGGTCACGTTATTATCAAGTCATAAATGTATAATTTTTAAAAGCATAATTTTCGAAGGTAAGTTATAAATTTTTTGAAAAGTTTCAAAAAAATTCCGATATGAGTAAAAAGATAATTAGTTATAATTTTGAAGTTGTGTTTTCAGAC